AAAAAATAAATAAATAAAAGCTTGGATGATCAGTTTCAATAGCTAGAATCATTTATTGTTGTGAGACTTCCCTAAATATCAAAAAAAAAAAAAACCTGAAATGAAAGGAACTAAAAACCGAAAGATACTAGGCATTAATAACTGAAGTTAATCCTTTCCCTTACCTTTCAAAATAGTTAAAATAGTTTTTAAAACTTAAGTTGACTATCAAATGTACCCTACTTCCATGTTACACTGATACTGCGATGCAAATATTTTTACACTTTAACATTTCTGAAACTGGGATGCATCATACACTCTATGGCGGCATGTTAATTAGCAGTATTTCTTCCTTCTAAGCAGTACATAAAACAATGATGGTGTATCTTACAACTGATGACATCTTAGATTTGATGAAATATAGTATCAAACTGACAAGATTAACCATATTGTGTCATGATTTTACTTTGCAGACCATTGAATCCATTTTAAATGAAAGGTTGTGTGACATAGTCATTCATTCAACATTTAACCTACTGAGTAGCTGATTATTACATGGGAGAGTGACAGTGAGGTATCTGGGGAAAATGAAAGAGCTTTGAAGAAGACAAACCTGGGTCTGAATTTTGGCTCAGTTGTATACCATGTAATTTTAGTGAACATTTTTAGCTACTCTGAGCTCATTTTCTCATCTATAAAACAGGTGTATCTATCCTACATATGTGAATGAATTAACATATGCAAAGTGGCTGGTAGTATATGCACTCATCTATGCACCCTGTCTTTTCTTGACACATTGTTTAATTCAGTGAACACCTATAAAGAACAGTCACTGAAACTCTGAATGAGGTATGATTTGAGCCCCTTGATTAAACAGGCTATAATCTAGATATTAAAAAAAAAGTTGAAAAAAAAAATCACTCTTCTTACCTGGAGTCTGTTGTCTTCTGATAGTTTTCTTTGAGACTGTTTGACTTAAAACAGTTTGCGAAGATGGTTCATCCTCTGAAGAATAAATATAACAAATGTCAAAACACAGAACATATGATCTGGGTACGAGATTATGCATATTAATAGCAATATATAAACAGAAATGCAAGTAATTATTTAAAAATGTGAAACTAGGTTTACCAAAACTTACAAATGTAATTAGTTAGAAATGCTCTTAAGACGATAAAAAAATAAACTATTCACCATTGATGCTTTACAACAAAAGCATATTTTACTTTAGAAAATTTAAAAGATGAGCTAGAGTGTCATAAATGATGCAGAAGAGTGAAACATGTTTAGGTCCTTATAGAATTACTACAATAGAAATAAATTCTTTATGTGTTAAAAAATTAATTTGCATAATTGCACTAGGCTCTGTGGAAGAGTCAATACAATTTAACATATATTTGTTTAAATATAAATATGTGCAAAACATTCACGCAGATATTGAAGGAAATACAGAATTAACGTAAGTACTAAAGTATAACATAGTCCTGCAAACATGTTTGGTTAAGCTCTTTGTCTTCAGGGAATTTATAATCCTAAAGACGAGAAAAAACTAACGTGTGTGGCACTATAGTAACTTACATATCTTTAGCATAAAGTTTCCAAATTCAGCACATCTTCAAATGTGTCAGCAGGTAAATGTGCAGCCTGTTACGCCGCTCTAAACTGAAAATCCATGTCCTCTTCATAGCCATCAATGGTGAACCTAACTATGTAATGCCATTGTGATTCAAACCCCCTGGTTTTTACCTCGTTAGGTGTCTTACATGGGGCTAACATGAAACTTCACTGAAACTTCACTCGTGACTCAGTGTTACATGGGGGTTGGGGACAAGGTGGGAGAGGATGGATTGAAAGAGTCGATTCACCTGTGACTCACCTAAAACGATACATTTTTTTCCGTCAGCATCCTTTTGGCCCATTTAGATGAAAGCTAAAAAGTCTTGCTTGGTCAGGCTACTTAACCACTGAGGTTACACTGAGGGCCCCCAACGTGGCAAATTTTTGGCAGAGACCACTACAGTCCAGAAACAGCGATTAGAGCTCAAGTTTATCAGACATTGGGGGCTTCAAGCTCGGGGTAACCGACATACCCCTTTTCAGTGTATGTACGTGGGTGGGGTCTCAAGTCACCAACTATGCTACCCTACAAAACGCCCACTCACAAATTTTCCCTCCCTCTTCCCCCACGGGGATAGTAATACAGGAAAAGACTGGAAGGTTAGATTAGAACCGTTAGTTCTTAGCTGGGGACTTTTTGGCCTCTGAGTGTCAAAGGAGGAAATGGAAGTGGCTTTGGTAGAAGCAGCCGCAGGACAGAGGAAACCGACATACAACCGAACCCGGGGTGACTCGGTGTCCCGCCTGCCGTCCCCTCGTGAAGGCCTGCAGAAAGGCAACCCTGACGCTCCTAAACGGATGCCCAGGGATGGGCAGGGATGCCCAGAGATCCCCAGCTCTGCCCATCGCTGCGCACCACCGCCTTTCCAGTCCTCCCGCCCGTGCCTCTTTCCCTCCAGCGGGATGGGTGGACCCGACGAGGGGACGCACGCCCATCAGCGCAGAGGAGCCACACGGGCAAGCCCGCCAGCCTCCGAGGTTTGCACACACACCGCGCGCCCTCCTGCCCGCCCGCCCCCCTGCCCGCCGCGCTCGCTCCTGGGCTTGCGGCTCGGACTGTTCCCCTCCGTCGTCCTCACCTTCAGAGGAATGGGAGTCCTGGAATCCTCTCCGGCTCGTAAACGGTGACGGCTGGAGCGGAGGCTGCTGCTGCAAGCGGATAGCACTTCGCGTCTTCATCTCCCCGGCTCCTGGCAGTCGCGGCTGCCTCCGCTGCCGAGACCGAAGGTAATAGGCGCTTTCTCTCACTTCCTTTTTCGCAGAATCGGGCCGGAACGCTTCTAGTCGGATTCGTGTTCCCACCGGGGACTTCCCTTTAACCACCCGAGGCTCGAAGTCGCCGTACACTTCGGGCGGCTCTTCCGAGAACCTCACTTCCCGCCGGCCGTGGCGCGACGGCGAAGAAGTTCCGTACGCAGGCGCGTCGCTGCCTGCGCCATTTTGAGGGGCGAGCCGGAGCCGTCCCTCTCGGATGGGGGCCCTCGGTGTGACGTACATCCCCCATCCTTCCATCACCGACGCTGCCCGCCGCCCCTCGCCCGCCATAGTTGTTGACGTAGCTTGAGTCGATCGCGGAGATGGCTTTGACGATTCTAGATTCTCCTGCCGTTGGTGACGACGGCTTTTCGGGGTGATGGGCGGTGGTCGCGGTGGTCAGGGAGGCAGTTGAGAGTCGCCGGGGCTGCCGCTCGCGTCGTCGCTGCTGTGTTGCAATCCCGCCTCTGGGCCCATGGTGTGTCCGAGGGCTGGGAGGCAGTGCCTTGTGCTAGGTCAGCTGCTGTTGGTCACTCCCGCCTCCTGGCTGAAGGCACCAAAGAGGAGGAGAGGAGGGCGGAGGACGTCGCTGTCCTTGGCCTTGAGGGANGTCTGTTCCTCTTCCCCCAATTCCCCAGCGCTGTTTCCATCCTCCAATTCCCCAACAAAAATCTTTAAAAATAAAATAAAATAAAAAAAATCTCTCTCTCTCTCTCTCTCACACACACACACACACACACACACACACACACACACGTATTACTCTTCACTATGCTCATGCAGAAGCTTTTTGAGAAATTAAAATCCTATTTGGAGCAATAATACCCTTAATTTTAAAAAGTTATTTTAGGAAATTATAAAAGCTGTGACTGTAAGAAATATATACACACATGGCAATAATGGAATGTGCTGTTAACAACCTCAACCAATGTAGGAAAAGGTACTTTTCAGAGATCTTAGGTCTTCCTTTGTTGCAAGAATAGATCACTTACAACCATCTCTTCTGGTGGAGGCCACTAACTATAACACTCTCTATACACTTTCTTTTGCTTGACTGCAGATTTTAAGGAAAATACAAAGTTCCACATATATTTCTACTACTTTATAGACTTTCTTATTCCTAGACTTGTGGAATGTGTTGGTGTGAGGAGTAAAGGATACTCAAGCAAATATAAGCTTTGCTTACTTGGTGTTTTGTCTGGGGACAAAGATATGAAGATTTCATAATGACACTATTATGCTTTCTCAAAGAGACGGCGAGACAGAATACAGGAGTCATTGTATCTCCTGTCTTCTTGTGCTGTCAGTACAACCTAGCATGGAGTGTTATAATAAGTCTATGTTCGGGGAAGGATGTAACTTTCTGAATTTACTCTTAGAACAAATAAATGATAGTTTGGGTGATTTGCTGTCTTTATTCCTGTCATTGGTATGAGTCAGGGATTGGTAAACATTTTCCATACATGGCCAAACAGTAAATATTTTAGGTTTTGTGAGCCACATAAGTTCTCTGCATTCATATATATATATTATGATTAAATACATATTAATATACATAAAATATTAAAAAGTTTTTTTTGCTGGTAGGCTGCACAAACACAGGGCTGCAGATCAGATTTTACTCAGGGGCTGTAGTTTACTGACCACTGGTATAGATGCCTTTAAAAACAGTACCTGTAAGACTATTCAATGCCAACAATGCTTTTGAGAACAGTCAGAGTGCGGCAGTAGGAAGGAGAGAGTAATGAATAGTTTGGGGATGCCACTAATATTCAAGCTTCATGAATAGCTATTTGATATACTCCATTCTCTATACTAATCTCACAGGAATTTCCATTAAACTGGAAAGCACTTGTTTTAAAGTTAGTTTTTATAATAAAGTACTTATAAAAATGATTGCTAACTTTAGCACAGAAAGTAAAAGTGCGAGACTATGTTAGCTCCAAATTTTCTTCCAATTAAAAGTTTGACTTAATTGACTTAAAAGCATTTTTCAAAAGCTTTTAAACAGAGCACTTGAGAAACTCTGGTGGGTAATACACGTAATAGCTGTATGCTGTAAGGATCGGTTTCAGTCCCCAGATACTAGAGCCTGAAGTAGCTAAAGAATTAGCCTGAGCTTAAGTGAAAGATGAATTTAAAAGAAGTTGCAACTATTTATAAAGAAAAATGAGGCTTCCCTCCTTTTGATTCATCTCCAAATTTAGAAAAGATCTGTAACTTAAAACTAAGTCCAACCACAATCAATGTAGGTTCACTTAAAGCTACAGACCTTGGTATCTCATGTCCTACACCCAGGCAAACACTGAAAAGAATTTAAACCAGTTCAACAAACACGGCCAAGGACACTGGACTTACTATGAAAAAAACATCTCAAATTCACTTGCTAAATCAAGAAAAAACCTTAATTAGTAAGTTGATACCTACTTACTCTCAATAGTGTGAATTTAACAAAGGCTAATAAAAACTAAAGTGTATTTGTTATTACATGTTCTTACATGAATTTAAGCAATTGTATAACAAAATCCATAATTTCAGATAGAAGAAAATCTAAGGCTATTTAAAAAGGTCATGGTCATAGGGCTAGTATCCCACATGCCAAGATAATGAACTAAGTAATATTCTCAAGCCAGTGACCAAAGTGTGTACTCCTGCATTGAACTCATATCAGACCCCTCAGAGAATCTGTAAGAGTTAGAAATAAACAAGCCTAGTTCACTCATTTTAGTATTTCCATTTGTTTTGTATGCCTAATCTGCAAGAGCTAGCAAGACAATAATTCAAGCTTAAAAGGAAATGTTTCACATGGTTCTTTACCACAGGTTCATCATCAAAATCTTAACCGATCTTTATCATTGTAATACTTGATAGTCACCTATCAAAAAAAAACTTCTTTCTTACAGGGAACGATGGAGGAGTAGAAACCTAATGTGAAGACAAAAAAGCTTCCTTTTTAGTTCCCACAATAAAGCATCCTTATGGGCCAATAAACTCCAAAAATGAAACAGAAGTAGACTGTTTGAAATGACTTTCCTAGTTTTCTTTCATAGTCATGAAATCAATTTAAGGGCAATAGTTTTTAAAAATTTCAGTCAAAAGGAAATGTAATTGTGGCAGGGAAATTTTATAGCTCTGAGTCACAAAACCTTAGTCTTAATTTTTTTTATTAATCTTAAACTGGGAAGAATAAAAAGTCCCTGACCCTAGTTTAAAATCATCCTGCTCACAGAAAGAATCATAGCAACATATAAGAAACACCTCTTTAAAAAAATGAGGAAGTCCTTTACGTATATGGAAAGATGTCACAATATATGTTAAGTAAAAATAAAAACAAATAACATAGAGATGCAGAAATGAGTACTTATTGGGCTAAAATTTGTGTTAAAATGATCATTTAAACACAAGTTTCCTTACATCTCCATAAACTATCTCTGGAAGAATATGTAAGAAACTGACAACTTTGGCTGCCTCTGATGAGAAGACTAGGTGGGTAACACAGGGAGCAAGGAAGGTTTTCAATGTATAGTTATACAGTAGTAATTTTTGAATTTTGAGCTGTATGTATACATGTGCAACTTAAAAATAAAATTGTATTTAAAAAAATGTTAAACCAACAGACATTACAATCTCTTACCAGATCTTGAACTTCTTAGAGGGGGTCTACACAGGCCGGTGACAGGATCTTCACTCATCACTACTGTGGGAAGGGAAAACGTTAAAAAATATATAAAAGCTATCCAATACACTAGGTTTATTATATAATCATTTATTTATTCAACAAAGTTTTTCTGAGCTTTCCATTATGCAAAGTATAATACGCTAGTGAACTAGAGACAAGTTTCCTGCCATAAAAATTTATGGACTTGGGCCGGCCGAGTGGCTCAGTTGGTTAAGAGCTCGCCCAAGAGGGTGAGCTCTGAACAACAGGGTCACCGGTTCGATTCACAGCCCGAGCTGAGCTGCTGCTGTGCTGCCAACAGGTGGCAGGAAGGCTCAGCTAAAAAAAATTTAAAAATTATGGATTTGATGGAAAAATTGGTCATTTTTCTCAACAGACCATATTTGCATAAAAGGAAAGAAATCCAACTTTCTCAATTAAGAACGGAATTCTGGTGCTGTATACCCAAAACTAATATCATGTTGAATGTCAACTATAGTTGAAAAAAATTTTTAAACTTACAAAGGACCAAGAGAACCAATTTCCATTTGGAGCGTATACTCATTGTGGATTATTTATGGCATATTTTACTTTCAGGGTGTACCTTCCTGAGAGTTAATACACTCTCTCCAAGATTTTAACCTTGTGTGTGTTTGGGACATGCAAATTCCGATTTTAAATAAAATGTTAATGTTAGCCAGGGTTTGTTTCAGACTATGGTTCACCGGCATAGGGTTCACGGGAAAGCCAGTCTCACTGAATAAAATGGTAATGTTAGCCTAGAAATCCAAGGTGTGTTTTCTCAAAGAGCCTCACTTCACAAATCTAAAACCTAATGTATACCTCAGTTTGGATTATAACATATTTTATTTCATTTGTCTCTAGAAAAAAGCATTATGTTTGGCTCTGTGTGAGAACTGCAGAAACCCCATTGGACTGGCTATCACATTACATTTGACTGCCTGTGTTTGTTTTCACAAAACTGACTTAACCCGGCTTCCCCTTTGTAGCATCTACAGGAGAAATCCTGAAGGGACAGTCATTCATTTGTTCCAAAAATACTTATTGAGCGTGTTTTTATACCTCTTAAAGATGGAGACATGGAAAAGCAATGAAATTGATTTTGTGTAGCTCAAAAAGGAAAAACAAGATCAATAAGAAAAAGTTACAGCAAAGTAGCTTTTAGTTCAATATTAAAAACAAACGAACAGGGCCGGCCGAGTGGTGCGATGGTTAAGAACTGGCTTGGGACGCCAAAAGGCCCCGGTTCGGATCCCACATATGAGGGCCAGTGACACTGCCCTCCACACAGCTAAGATGCTGAACAACAGCTCAACCTGGAACTGGGCTGCCCTGAGTCGCGTAGGCTGCAGCCCCTGTGGCAGTGGGTTGCCGTGTGTGGCCAGCAGCCGCAGTGAGCGGCCGTCCAGAAGCCGGCGACTGATCTGCCTCACCTGGGAAGAGCGCAATGATGGTGCCAACTTGGGCCAGTGAAGCAACGTCCTCCACAACTAGACTGAAGAACAAAACGACAGCAACTTGTCTGTTCCCCTTCCCCCAATTCCCCAGCACTGTTCCCATCCCCCCAATTCCCCAATAAAAAAAAAAACCAAAAAAAACCCACCAAACGAACAAAAAACACAAGTTATTAATGTTATCTCCAAAACAGAACAGATAGTGAGAGAACGCTTTCCATATAACTGAAGATGCTCAAGCAATGCATGAATGGATGTTGACAAAGGGACGCCTGCCCAGAAACTTTGAAGGTTTCGGGGTCACTTCCCTAAATCTTACAGCTCTAAGATTCTATGAACTATTTATCTCACGTTAGCATTGCACACATTGGGTATTAGGAAATTACATAAGTGGCTTTAAAAATAAAGTACATGCCTGCTACTCCCATTATTACCTTCCTC